CTTTACAGACCCTAATCAGCTACGACAATAACCCTTAAAACCGATCCCAACCTTCCTCTTATGGCATTGAACCTTGTGCTTAAATTTCATCGAGATTCATACACTTATACTCCAGTAATTGTCTGAAGACCATAAAAATGCTTGTTTTTGGTCCCTTTTTTGGCCGTTTATTACTAAACAGCTGCGACAATAACCCCCAAAATCAATATCAACCTTCCTATTGTGGTATGGAACCTAGTGCTTAAATTTAATAGAGATCCATACACTTATACTCAAGTTATTGTCTGAGGACCAAAATATATTCAACCCCTTTTCGGCTCCTAATTCCTAAATAATTTGGGTCATGACTTGGTACAGGCATTTCCTTATATAGAAAATGGTGGATTAAACCTGGTTTTACAGCTAGCTTAACCTCTCACTTGTATGACAGTCACATACATTTAATTAGATTGACAACAATGTGTGAACAAAACAGACATAAAAATTTCAAAAATAGGGTCCAACAGTCAACATTGTGTTATAATCTTAATCACTATGAAAAACAAACAAATATGTCAACTAAGAAAAACAAAATGGCATATAGACAAAGCACATAAGCAAAAATGAAAGACAAGAATACAAAAAATGACCACAGCACAACACATTGGTGGGATGCATTAGTACCGAGCCACGCCAAAAGGATATTACCATAAATGAACTAAACTGTAAAGGTTAATAATTTACAAAAGACAAATAAAAGAAAACTATAACACGTAATTAAGATGATAAACAACGTCAGTACCTAGAATCTATACTTCAAGACACAATGTATTATTTGTGAAGTTGATACGGATTATTTAACAAGGTCTTGTCATCATCATCATCATCATCATCATCATCATCATCGTCGTCGTCGTCGTCATTGTCGTCGTCGTCGTCATCATCATCGTCGTCGTCATCGTCGTGAAGTTCATCATCATCATCATCATCATCACAAGGAATTATTTCAATCTGGAATAATTTTGAATGCTGGAAAATTTAATGTATGATGAAAACTAACCAAAAACTAAAGAGGGTTAGCATGGCTAAGGTTAATTTTAATTTCACTGATATTAGAGTATGAACTAACTAACCACCTTCAGCCATGCATGCACCCTCCTAAATTAGGTTAGTTTTCGTTATAGATTTCTTATCAATTTTCCAGAATTAAAATTATTCCAGATTCAATTAATTACTTGTTGACATCATCCGTCTCAAAGTTTAATTATAAAAAATTTGTCAAACTAGAAAACTGACATTTCAACAAGGGCTCTGCTTACACATTATTATGTTAACCTCACATTAAATTGTTTAATACTGATGCAAACAAAGTAATACATGTTCCTTAAGGATGTATTCTTCTGAGGTTTCAGTCTCGTTGAAATCTCGTTCGTGAATTAATTTCAAAACATTTGATACAAGTAGAAAATATCAATGAATATAAAGAATATTATAATTAAACTAAACTCTGTGAAAAAATTGTGTACTTACATAAAGTAGTTTTTGAGTAATAAAAAATTTAAAATTTTACAACCAATCTAGTCAGTGTCATCAGCCAAAATGTTGAGAAAATAGTGAGGGTACAAAGAAATGATTTGACCAAAGATATGTACATCCTATATCATTTTTTTCTTTTCAAAATTCTTAGATATGTATTTTTTCAATCATTTATAACAAAGAAGTTGAAATAATATGCTTTTTAATTTAAAAAAAAAAAAATAGATCGATGAGTCCTATCCAGTAGCTAGGCATTTATCATATAATAGTGGATTTTAAAATATCTCTTTTCTAACCCTTAGAATTCACAAAATATAAAACATGTAAAAACCATTGGTACATGTAAATTATCTAAAACATGACCGAAAGTGAACGTTTGGAATGAAATAAAATTAAGGTTTTCCATGCCTGTACGATGGATAAACAAGACTTTCAATTGTTGGCAATACTGACATTGAAAAATAAAGAGCAAATAACACAACATCGAAAGCATAAAGAACACGAGTCCCTGTTTATCAAAACTAGGGACCAACGCAGGAGTTCGGAAAGATGTTTATTTTTTGGCCAACTGATGGCACTCGCGATGTTTCTCATTGCTAGTAGAAATTCAGCGATTAGGCGTATTTATTTATCATCTTGATGTTACCACAATCAACAAAAAAGAACGGATTGTGGCAAGGAGAAGAGGAGCATAGATATAGGAAGATGTGGTATGAGTGCCAATGAGACAACTCTCCATCCAAGTAACAATTTATAAAAGTAAACCATTATAGGTCAAGGTACGGCCTTCAACACGGAGCATTGACTCACACCGAACAGCAAGCTATAAAGGGCCCCAAGAATTACTAGTGTAAAACCATTCAAACGGGAAAACCAACGGTCTAATCTATATAAAAACGAGAAACGAGAAACACGTATGAACTACATAAACAGACGACAACTATTGTACATCAGATTCCTGACTTAGGACATCCATTATCATTTTTGACTCAGATGGTACCTAATGGTCAAACAAATTCTGATGGCGTCCCGATAATTATTCGAATCTTTCCATTTATGGGATCTTTGATTAGATTTTCTTTCAAGCAGCATCCATATATCATGGAAACGCAATCCCTTGAATATTGTGTGTACTACAAAGTGCAATTCGATAGAAGAAAAAATATCAGCAATTAAAGCATTGACTCAGTTTTGTTCATTTTCAATTTTTGGTGGCCATTTTGAAAAAAATGAAGTCTACTATAACGTCATGATTTACTAAAAACGTTGGATAATATTTTGTATTTTTTGAAAGATTTGGTTTGACTATTATTTGCTTCAATATATACATAGATATAAGAAGATGTGGTATGAGTGCCAATGAGACAACTCTCCATCCAAGTCACAATTTATAAAAGTAAACCATTATAGGTCACAGTACGGTCTTCAACAAGGAGCCTTGGCTCACACCGCACAGCAAGCTATAAAGGGCCCCAAAAATAACTAGTGTAAAACCATTCAAACCGGAAAACCAACGGTATAATCTATATAAAAAAACCAGAAACGAGAAACACTTATGAACCACATCAACAAACGACAACTACTGAACATCAGATTCCCAACTTAGGACAGGTGCAAACAATTGCAGCGGGTTTGAACGTTTTAATGGTACCAAACCTTCACCCTTATCTGAAACAATAGTGTAACATCACAAAATAGAAAGATACACTATAAAATATCAATTGAAATGGCTTAACTCAATCAAAAGACATATTAACACAAGTGAACATACACTGAACGAATAAATTTGATCTATGATACAATGTCAATAAGAAATCAATAAAATAAGGGATGAATAATTAAAGTAACAGTATTATACCGCTGTGAAATGTTAAACAATTTCAGAAAAACAACAATAACCTTAAATAAACTGCTTCGCCGAGAGCAGCTGGATACAACCGCAGAGGTCTAACCCTGAACAGTTGGGGCAAAAATGGACACGATATTCAAGCTTGATACAGGTCTGAATTTGGATTGTTATTAAATATTTGACACATTATAGGTTTCTGACACAGAATTAATGTAGTCAAAGAACTTGAAATCGGTTGTATGATTTGAATTTATATTCAACTGAAGATTTCTTGCTGTTGTGCAATACTTAGTAAATCTGTTTTCAGACTATATACAAAGAATAAGCAAAATAAATTGTGACCCGCAATTTTTTTCTTTGGAAAATTGACAATTTCTTAAATCGAGAGGAAAAAAAATTGACCCCCGTCAAAAAAAGTTTTTTTACCCCCCAAATTTTTTCCCCCCCCACCCCTCCAAAAGAAATATTTGAGAGAACTTTCCTTATTGCCCCCTCTTTTTGTAAAATGTGGTACAAATTAAGAGACATCCATACACTTAAACACAAGTTATTGTCTGAAAACTAGAAAAATGCTTGTTTTAGACCCTTTTTGGCCCCTAATTCCTGAACAGTTTGGGCAATTACCCCCAAGATGAATCCTAACCTTCTACTTGTGGTATTGAACCTTGTGGTACAATTTCAGAGCAATCAAAATACTCATTACAAGTTATGGTCCTGAAACTAGAAAAATGCTTGTTTTGGCCCCTAATTCCTACACGGTTGGGACCATCAGCCCCAAAAACAATCCCAACCTTCCTTTTGTGGTATTGAACCTTTTGATTAAATTTCATAGAGATCCATACACTCAAACTAAAGTTATTGTCCGGAAACCAAATGTCTTCGGACGACGCTGATGCCGCCACTGACGACGATGTGATACCAATACACGACCGCAGAAATTTTTTTTGCAGTCGTATAACAAAAATCTGCCATTTAAAATAATATTATACACAGGTAAATGAAAATAATTTTGTTGTTAGGTATACAGTTTAAAAGGAGAAAGGAAATATTTTTACAAAATAAATAATTTTGATGTTCATAGTTCGAAGAGGTGAAAATTTATAGTAATACCAAACACTTATCAAAGCTGGTATATAGACCATATATAACCCTGAATAAGTAAACATTAAAAAAGCATTACAAATAGTATCAACAGGTCAAATTAACAAGAAAGTACGATTTGAGAGTACTCGCAGTTACTGACAGCTAGTTAAAAGCCAAAAACAATTAATAATAATAAATCATGCATCAGAGACTAAAATCAACTAAAACACATTCCAGGGATTTAGTATTTTAACGTCATGGACAGTCAAAGAAGACATGACTTGTGCAATGCAAATGACTGATTGGAAGACATCTTGAAGATGGCCGCTATATTGGATTTTTTAGAGTGGGTCCATAGCACAAATTGACTACCACATATATATATACAATTGTGCAAAATGTCATACTTTTATCATCCAACCAAAAATTCTTGTAAAAATATGCACGAATCAGCTGGACTATTTCAGAGGAGAAGATTTAAAGTTAACAGATGACGACAGACGAAGACGATGGACGACAAAGACAGACGAAAAGTCAAGAGAAAAAAAGCAAAATTAATACAGTTTTTCTAAAAATAAAAATCATTTTATTTAAAAATTTCATCAATTTATTTTTTTCAGTCAAACAAAATAACAAAGGCATGCCTGATGATTATTTCATTGTTATATAGACTGAATTAACACAAAATAGTTACATTATGAACATATCTTAATGTAAATTGAATACAAACTGCTAGTGGAACTTTCTATACACCAAGTTGAGCTGTACAGTTTTGCTATTAACACATTTCTTAATTTCATAGTTCAGAGACCTGTATTTACAAATGAATGAATGAATGAATATTTTATTTGTGAAAGCATAAATAACATGCTATGGCAATACATAGACAAGTATATACAATGTGACAAAACGACAGATAGCAGATAACAATACATACCCGGTAATGTAATAAGGTGACAATTAATTCACAATACATGATATAATTTCCCATGCCATGTATACATTATATAGGTGAACTGTCATATATGGACCATCTCAACATAGGTAAATATAATCATTAATATGACATATTATTTTGTAATTGAAACTATAAATTGAGGTCTTCTAGAAATGCATCCAAATTAGGAAATTGTTCAATGTTTTCCCTATTTTCTTTACAATTTAATCCTTTATAAAAAAAATGTTTATAAAGGTTACGATCAAGATATCTACCTGTCTGGTGTTCCCAAGGCAAAATTTCTTCACTGTCTCTTTTGTCGAAGAGGACAGAAAGCTCAGAAGCTATTGCAGTTATAAATATTTCATCATTTTCCTCGATACCAAATTTATAGACATATTCTCCAACCTCTTCAACAAGTGGATCACAAAAGTCAGAGTCGTAATCCTCAGACTCATTGTCATCATCTTGATAGTCATCATAATCATAGTCATCAGAATCTGAACCATAATCACCTGAAAAATCTACATTCATTTCTGGCCTTTGTACTTGCCTTTGTACTGTTAAACAGGATAACAGCTTTTCAGCAAGTAATCTATTGTCAACCTTCACAAATGAATTACTACTACCTTCATAACTTGAAGGACAACAAAGATTCAAAACAACATCAATGCTGCCATATCTAAACAAGTTTTTCTCACAAAAAATCTTGTATTGTGATACTATCTCTTTCCGCTGCCCTCTTTCAGTTAAGCCATCAATCATGTACCCTAAAATGTTGGGATTAATATTCCTTATATGTTTTTCCACCATGGATAGAAACTTTTCCACAAATATTTTCCCATCAGATTGAAGCCCAACTCTATAAAGATATCTTCCTATTGCATTTTGCTTGGCCTTATCTACTGTGCCTGATGTCTCATCAAATATGTATTGTTCATCACATGTATTTGCAAAATCATTATAACTATCATTAGGAGAAAACGTAGAGCAATAGCTTATGCCAACTAGTATATTTAAGAGCCTTCCTGCCAAAATTTCATTGTCAACATTGACAGCATTTTTTTCTTGTATTAAACAACCATTTGGTCTTATAAATTTTGTAATTATATCTACATCTTCCATTTTTAGAAGTTCTTTAAGAATTTGGCCATTATATGGTTCAAACTGGTCAGGAACACTTTGTCCCATTAAAGCATTTAAAATGCCGGAATATTTGCCATCATCTAAGAGTTTTGTACTGTTTTTAAAAAATGACAAAACCTGATCTGAAGTTTTTGTGCATAGATTCAGTGAGACCTTTTCAATGTATTGTTTAATAATATTGATGTCAACAAATGGTACTTTGGGCATCAAGTAATTTATTATCTTTTTATCTTCAATGCATATGTATATCCCTTTAAAGTCCTGGGGTCTAAAATATTCAGAGAAAAAATCAAAACTACAATGAGAAAGGATCTCATCAGGATAATCTTTACCATAGGAAATTAGTATTGCTTCCCGAATTGTAGCATGCTGTAATCTGCAAGGTCCTCTTGTGAAATCACCAACTAGATATTTATCTGAAATTCCTTTTACAGATCTTTTCAAGACATTAGGATTGTAATTTGAATTACCAAACTTATCCAATAGGTGCCTAAAAAATATTTTATCTACAGTAGATAAATCTATTTCATCCTCAACAGCTAAGTACACTAAAATACAGAACTGATACTGTTCAATTACACTGTTCTCAAATGCACCAGTATGCAAAGATTCTATTTCTTCAACCAAAGCCTTGTTAGGATTTTGAAAGTATTTGACACCCATTTTGGTAAAAGAAGGATTGCTAGAAAAAAGGCGACATGCCTGAGGAAATCCATAGTAGGTGTCAACATTAAGAATATCTTCAACAACTTTGTAACAGAGTTCTAAAGTATTCCCTGGCATTTCCATACAAAGCTCATAACATGTATCACTATAAAGCCAGTTCCTATATCTGCAATTGCAAGTTGAAACACTGAACTGTTTTAAATGATTGATTAAAATGTTCTCTTTTTCATCTCGAGTCAAGGCGAAGTTCTCATCATCTAAATTAATGATTCTTGCTTCCTTGAAAATTTCATGTTTATCAAATAGATCAAAATGACTTCCAGGTGTTTTCCTGACAGTAAGTATCAACTTGCAATTGCACTGTTCACCTTTCATATTACTGTTTAATATATCTAAAATATTCTTGTGTGTCTCATCATCAAATTTCACGTTAGACCTTCCAAATAAATCTTCAATAATTATGACATAATTTTCTTTAAAATCTATCAGTTCTCTTTTTAAGACAATTTCTTTCTCTACAAATAACAAAGGTTTATAGCTGCTGTTGTTATCCTCAAGGAAGAGTTTTGCTAAATACAAGCTCAAGGCAGTCTTCCCTCTTCCACCATCAGCTGCAAGTACTAGTATTTGGTTTTGATCAAGAACTTCCGTACATTTGGCCACTGCTCTTGTCATTACATACACATTGGCTTCATTCTGTATCATTGCTTTTGTCTGATCTTTAAAATTGAGAATTAAAAAAATACCAGTATATTTATTAATGATAGTTTTACAAAACAAGTCAATATGGCAAAATTTCTCGGTTGAATTCCATAGCTATTGCCCCTAAATGATTTCCCCATTTTTTTTCTGTTTTTTGCTTATTAGTTTGAAAACTTTAAAGGGAAACTTCGCAAAAAAATAAAACTAGAGGCTTTAAATAAATGAAAATTTTCGAAAATAGTAAAATTCATTATTTTAGGGCAATAAACACATATATAAGTAAGCAATGAATGTGCTTTTTAAATTTGATAGATGCTTTTTGTGCTTCTTTGTTAAATGTTTGTTTGTTTTGAGATTGTGACACAGTGATGACTGCTGTACCCATATTTTGACAATGTTACCTATTATGTCTGTTTTGTTCACGCATCGTTGTAAATATATTGGAATTTGATGCGACTGTCATACAAGTGAGAGGTTTAGCGCTATAAAACCAGGTTCAATCCACCATTTTCTACATTGGAAAATGCCTGTACCAAGTCAGGAATATGACAGTTGTTGTCCATTTGTTTGATGTGTTTTATCATTTGATTTTGCCATTTGATTAGGGACTTTACGTTTTGAATTTTCCTTGGAGTTCAGTATTTTTGTGATTTTACTTTTTAAGAAGTCGTCTGACAGTTTTGACTTAAACGAACAATATTCTGAACATTTTTGCTCCAGTCAGATTTTCTCTTTTTATAACGGTTTTTATAATAATAGACAATAAACTGCTTCGCTGAGCACAGCTGGATACGCTAGCAGAGGTCCAACCCTGAACAGTTGGGGCAAAAATGGACACAATATTCAAGCTTGATTCAGGTCTGAATTTTGATTGTAATTAAATATTTGACATATTATAGGTTTCTGAATAAATGTAGTCAAAGAACTTGAAATTGGTTATATGAACTGAATTTATATTCAATTAAAGATTTCTTGCTGTTGTGCAATACACTGTGCTGTTGCGCAATACTTAGTAAATCTGTTGTCAGACTATAAACAAATAAAGTTCAATTTCTTCTCCAATGTCATATTTGAAATTTATGAAAATCAATAGGGAGATTACATCAATAGCTATAAATAATTCACTAAAGTTTCATGAGAACTGCTGAATGCATTTTTGAGTTATTGTCCAAAAACTGGAAAATCCCCCCTTTTTTAATGAATAAAACCCCATAACTCAGAAATGTAAAATCTAAAATTTATGAAATTCTAAAGGGAGCTTACATCAACAGATATAAACAATTCATCAAAGTTTCATGAGAACTGCTGAAAGCATTTTTTAGTTATTGTCCGAAAACTGGAAAATCCCCCTTTCTTTATGAATAAAACCCTGTAACTCGGAAAAGTTAAATCTAAATTTTATAAAAAACCAAAAGGGAGCTCATGTCAATAGATATAAACAATTCACCAAAATTTCTTGCAAGTTGGTGAAAGCATTCTTGAGTTATTGTCGGAAAACTGGAAAATCCCCCCTCTTTTAATGAATAAAACCACAAAACTCAGAAACGGTAAATCTGAAATTTATAAAAAATGAAAGGGAGCTCACGTCAATAGATATAAACAATTCACCAAAGTTTCATGCATATTGGTAAAAGCTTTTTTGAGTTAATGTCCCACATGTTGACGACGGACAGACGGACGGACAGACGGTCAACGGTATACCATAATACGTCCCGTGAACGGGCGTATAAAAATTGCATTTAACCCCTATGTTCTATTTTGAGCCATGTCGGCCATCAGACACATTTTTCAAACTAGATACCCCAATAATGATTGTGGCCTAGTTTGGCTAAATTTGGCACATTAGTTTCAGAGAATAGATTTTGGTAAAAGTAAACAGATGACTACTGACGACAAGTGATGAGAAAAGCTTGCTTGACTCTTTGTGCCAGGTGAGCTAAAGATGGTCAAAGACCCAAATCTCCTATAATAAACTGCTTCGCTGAGCGCAGCTAGATACGCCCAAAGAGGTCCTACCCTGAACAGTTGGGGCAAAAATGGACACAATATTCAAGCTTGATTCAGGTCTGAATTTGGATTGTAATTAAATATTTGACATATAATAGGTTTCTGAATAAATGTAGTCAAAGATCTTGAAATTGGTTATATGAATTGAATTTATATTCAATTAAAGATACTTGCTGTTGTGCAATACTTAGTAAATCTGTTGTCAGACTATAAACAAATAAAGTTCAATTAATTCTCAATGTCATATTAGAAATTTATGAAAATAAAAAGGGAGCTTACATCAATAGATATAAACAATTCACCAAAGTTTCATGTGAATTGGTGACAGCATTTTTGAGTTATTGTCCAAAAACTGGAAAATCACCCCTTTTTTTAATGAATAAAACCCCACAACTCAGAAACATAAAATGTAAAATTTATAAAATTCTAAAGGGAGCTTACATCAACACATACAAACAATTCACCAAAGTTTCATAAGAATTGCTGATTGCATTTTTGAGTTTTTGTCCGAAAACTGGAAAATCCCCCCTTTTTTTATGAATAAAACCCTGTAACTCGGAAAGGTAAAATCTAAAATTTATAAAAATCGAAAGGGAGCTCATGTCAATAGATATAAACAATTCACCACAATTTCTTTCTAGTTGGTGAAAGCATTCTTGACTTATTGTCCGAAAACTGGAAAATCCCCCTTTTTTTTTAATGAATAAAACCCCATAACTCGGAAACGTAAAATCTAAATTTTTATAAAAAACAAAAGGGAGCTCACGTCAATAGATATAAACAATTCACCAAAGTTTTATGCAAATTGTTTAAAGCACTATTGAGTTAATGTCCGACATGTTGACGACGGACAGACGGACGGACAACGGTATACCATAATACGTCCCGTAAACTGGCATATAAAAATGATTGAATTAAAAAGGCAGTCCAATATGGTAAGATAAATGTGATGTTAAACAATCTTACTAAGTATGAGATAACCTGTAAAAAGGACTCAAGAGTAGTTGCCATCACAAGGTGTTATTGAAACAATACTAAACTAGAGGCTCTAAAGAGCCTGTGTAGCTCACCTTGGTCTATGTGCATATTCAACAAAGCACACTCTCCAACATTGTAGACAGGAATATAGTTCATGACAATAAATTGTTATCACAGAGATATGTCTCGCCTTTTTGCAATTTTGGTAATGCAAATGTTGAAATTAAAATAGCAATACTTTAACATGTAAGTTATGCAAGTATTCATGTCAATGAACCATGACAGAAGGTATATGGCTAAACAATCTCCATGGAAATGAGATGTGCCAATGCTAATACAACTGTATACCAAATACCATTGACTAATATATTAAAAGTTGTTCTCTTTAAAGAAACCTAAACACAAACATTTACTTGTAAACTATGTAAAAGTTTCAAAGTCCATGTACCATGATGAGGGGATGGGTCTATAGAATCTCCATGGAAATGATACTTGGAAATGATACTTGCAAATGCCAATAAATTTGCATTTTACCCTCTATGTTCTATTTTTAGCCATGTTGGTCATGTTGGTAGGCAGGCCATCAAACACATTCTTTTCAACTAGATTCCCCAATGATGATTGTGGCCAAGTGTGATTAAATTTGGCAAAGTGTTTCAGAGGATAAGACTTTTGTAAAAGATTACAAAAATTTATGAAAAATTGTTAAACATAAAGGGCTTCAGGGGTCAATTGACAATTGTCATCATATTAAATAATTTGTAGATTATACTTTGCTGAACATTATTGCTGTGTACATTTTATCTCTATCTACAATGATATTCAATATAATAACGCAAGAGTGCACACACTGAAATGTCTCGCCTTCTTTACTAACCATTGATTTTTTTCTGTTGATAGTCCTAAATATAAAGCTTACCTACAAGTAACACATAAACTTAACATGATCCAAAAAAATGAGGTCATGGTCAGAAACAAGAAATACATGTAAACCTTAAAATCATTCAATAAACAAAACATAGTTGACCTATTGATTATAGTTTCTAAGAAACAGTCTTAACCTTGAAAACTTAACATTAACCAATGAACCATGAAAATGAGGTCAAGGTCAAATAAAACCTGTGAGACTGACATATACATAATAAAATATTTCCAAAAACCAAATATAGTTGACCTATTGCATAAAGTATTAGAAAAAAAGACCAAAACTGAAAAACTTAACTTTGACCACTGAACCATGAAAATGAGGTCAAGGTCAGATGATACCTACCAGTTGGACATGTACACCTTACAATCATTCCATATACCAAATATAAAAGACCTATTGCTTATAGTGTCTGATATGTGGACTTGACCACGAAAACTTTACCTTGTTCACTGATCCATGAAATGAGGTCGAGGTCAAATGAAAACTGTCTGACGGGCATGAAACCTTGCAAGGTATGCACATACTAAATATAGTTATCCTATTACTCATAATAAGAGAGAAAATAACATTACAAAAAATCTTAACTTTTTTTCAAGTAGTCACTGAACCATGAAAATGAGGTCAAAAACAATGAACATATGACAGACGGAAACTTCGTAACATAAGGCATCTATATACAAAGTATGAAGCATCCAGGTCTTCTAGCTTCAAAAATATCAAGCATTTAAGAAGTTAGCTAACGATGCCGCAGTAGCGGCAGCCGCTGGATCACTATCCCTATGTAGAGCTTTCTGCGACAAAAGTTGCAGGCTCGACAAAAAAACTGCAAAATTTCCTTAAAATTACCATTTCAGGGGCAGCAATCCAACAATGGGTTGTCTGATTCATCTGAAAATTTGAGGGCAGCTAGATCTTAACCTGATGAACATCTTAACCCCATGTCAGATTTGCTCTAAATGCTTTGGTTTCAGAGATATAAGCCAAAAGCTGTATTTTTCCTATGTTCTATTTTTAGACATGTTGGCAATGTTGGTTGGCAGGCGGGGTCCTTGGACACATCTTTTAAACTAGATAACCAAATGATGATTGTGGCCAACTTTGGTTAAATTTGTTTCTGTAGTTTTAGATGAGATCATTTTTGTAAAAGTAAACGGACCATGATAGATGACGGACGCCAAGGGATGAGAAAAGCTCACTTGGTCCATTGGGCTAGGTGAACTAAAAAGTGGTCAAAGTCCCATTTCTCCTATAAATATTATCAAATGAAACTGACAATAAAGAGAAAATGACAACAAATATCCTACCAAGTATGGAAGCTTTATGTCAAAACTCAAAAGGTCTCTATGTATTGATGTGTTTTGGACAAACAGACGGACGAACGAATACCATAACAATATCCCAAGAGGTTGAAAGCATGTGGACAACAAACATAAATAAATCATTGCGAGTTTTCTAAGGTTAACTTTTTGCAATTTTCCTTATTGTTTCAAGCAATTCAATAAGATAGCTTCATTAGATTGAATTCTACATACCTATCAAAATTCTTCTATCTTCATCTGAAAAATAATACCACCAAATTCAATACATTAATTGTCTTTTGAAAAAAATAACATATAAACCCAAGAACTATTTACATATTGTTACATACATTTTTAAAACAAATTAAGAATGTCATACCAGATCAACAAAATAGCACTAAATTTATTCGACTATAACTTATTTTTTAATATTTTGTTTTTGCTGTCATGATCAATATAAATAAGAAGATGTGGTATGAGTGTCAATGAGACAACTCTCCATCCAAGTCACAATGTGTAAAAAGTAAACAATTAAAGGTCAAAGTAAGGCCTTAAAAAAAGATACTGTACAGGTATTATCATTTTGGCCTTATATTGTCAATCCAAATATTTTCAAAACAAATGATTTGTTTATTTGGTAGCTGTTCATAAAAACATGTGGAATGCTGATGACACCCATTATGAAATTAAGAAGATATAATTTCCATGTGAAACAACACTGAAAGAAACAATTTGGATTTAAGCAACTATAGATCACCATGCTTTTTTATGTAGAAAATTAGAGGCTCCAAGAGGCAAAACCGTTAAACTGTTATCCATGCATAATTTTAGCATATGTTCAATTAACCCTGAAAATGACGTCAAGGTCATATGATACCTGCCAGTCAGACATTTTTACCTTAAAATCATTTCTGTGTCCGATCAGTGATTCATATAACAACAATCGATTGAACAAAATCCCAATCAATTATCGACATCGCCAAGCCCAACCAACTGATTTCTGACTTATCCTGATCATCAAAACAACACTAGTTTTCAGTTCAAAAGACATACAGACAGACAAGGTGAGTCAACAGGTTTCCACTACTAACTTGGGTATTAAATTTCATGTTATACTTAGATGTTATCTTGGATATTTGAACCAAACTTACTCTTTGTATCTATTCTTTGTATATCTCTCCTATTTTCTTGTATTCTTCTTCTATTTTCTTCTATACCACTCCCCATATCTTTATTCTTTTCATCTTGTTGAACATTTCTCTCATCCTGGACTCTAAACTTTTCGTCAAATTTTTTCTCAATTCTATGTAATTCAGTATACAAATTTTGAATAATAGCCTTGTTCTCAAGTATCTGTTCTTCTTTTTTCCAAATTTCCTCTTTAATCTCACTTATTTCCACTTGTGTACTGGCAGATTGCTCTTCTGTTTGTTTCGTAAGCTTTTCAATTTTCTGGTAAAGCTCTGTAACATCTTCCTCAAGTTGTAAAACTTGTCTGTCATGTTGTACCATTCTGATTAAAACTTCTTCAGTGGAACTGTCAAGTTTCATTGTTGAAGCGTCATACACTGCCTTCATAAATTTATCATCTTTTCCAAGGATCCTGACAGCCTGTTGATTACAAAATTCATAACTGGATTACAAAAATTGAAATTTAAAAACCACCTGACTTAAAGAATGGCAAGATATGTATGAGTAAAACAATTTAAAGTTCACTCAATTTTAAAACTTTTACTTTTAAATCAGTTCACACTGAATTTCTAACCCTGCAAATTCCTTTGAAACTATAAGAATCTTAGAAATCTATTTCATAGATGAATTTAAAGAAGAGGTTACATTAAATATATATGGACATTGAGTAAATAATGTATATAATAAACATGGAACACGAGTACATTTGTTTAATGTAATTTCCAAGCAAGCCTGGGTCATTACAAATGTAATTGTAAATTCCGGTAATTAATTAAAAATTTAAAAGTAATTAAAAGTAATGTGTAATTGAGCATATTTTAATTTACAAGTTATTGAAAAAACTTTGATCAAATTTCCCTTTTGCCATGTAATTATGAATTACTTTTCAATTACATTCTAGTATTTGATTGAAAATATAAAACAAATCTTGCTACTCTGAAGAACTCACACATGTAAACCTTATTTTTTTTATGTCATTTAGTATGCACTTGGTATTTTTATATTTTTTTAATTTTGATGGTAAATAATTATTATGCTTAAGAAAATTAAAACATTTTATTGCCAAATAATAAAACTTTATAAACATTAATTTTTATTTTCATTTAATTCCTTAATTAATTTCTTCACATTTTTTTACAAAAATAAAAAAAATAAAGAGTAATTGATGACTTAGGACTTAAAATTTAACACATAAAACCTTTGTAAAAATGTACAATTGAGTAAGAAGACGTATGGTTATTATAAACTAGAGGTTCTTCTGAAAATTTCAGGGCAGATAAATCTTAATCTGATGAACATTTTTGCCACCTGTCAGATTTGCTCTAAATGCTTTAGTTTCAGAGATATACACCAAAAACTGCATTTTACCCCCATGTTCTATTTTTAACCAAGTTGGCCATGATAGTTGAAAGGCGGGGTCATCGGACAAATTTTTTAAACTATATACCCTTATAATAATTATGGCCAAGTATGGTTAAACTTGTCTCAGTAGTTTCAGAGAAGAAGATTTTTGTAGAAGATTACAAAAATTTACGAAAAACTCCTAAAGGGGTCGACTGACAATTTTGGTCATGACAATTTATTTGTAGATCTTACTTTGCTGAACATTATTGCTGTTTACAGTTTATCTCTATCTATAATAATATTCAAGATAATAACCAAAAACTGCAAAATTTCCTTAAAATTACCAATTCAGGGGCAGCAACCCAACAACAGGTTGTCAGATTTGTCTGAAAATTTTAGGGCTGATATATCTTGACCTGATGATCAGTTTAACCCATGTCAGATTTCCTCTAAATGCTTTGGTTTCAGAGATATAAGCCAAAATCTACATTTCACCCCTATGTTCTATTTTTAGCCATAGCGGCCATCTTGGTTGGTTGGCGGGGTCATCAGACACATTTTTTAAACTAGATACCCTAATGATGATTGTGGCCATGTTTGGTTAAATTTGGCCCAGTGGTTTCAGAGGAGAAGCTTTTGTAAAAAGCTAATGATGACGGATGACGACGACGGACGATGGATGACGGACGCCAAGTGATGAGAAAAGCTCACTCGGCCCTTCGGGCCAGGTGAGCTAAAAATGGATCTACACAAACCACTGCTCAGCATGTGTATTATCAAAAAATAAATGGGGAATGTGTACATGGGACACAGATGATGCCCCCGCTTGCATATAACTTTAAAAAGGGACATTACTCAAGAACTGTAAAAATGACGCTACCCAAATTTGTACTTGATCTGAGTTTTGTGGTAATAAGCATTGTGTATACGTTTCATAACATTTAATTGAGGCAAACTTAAGTTAGAGAATGGAAACGAAAAATTCAGCAATATTTCTAATTGTAAAGGGGTATATTTATTTTGTATTTACATTGTGTCATAGGTCAAATTTATTTGTTCAGTGTATGTTCAATCATGCAGGGCTTCCAAAACGGTCATATATTCCGGACTTGACCGAAACTTTCATAAAAAGACCGGCTGCTCTCAGCCTCAAACGGTCAAATAGAATTGGTGTGCCACATTTTGTTATTCAAGGCATTTTCATGAAACGGTCATTTCAATTTTTACCAACTATCGATCGATAAAAATGTCCGTTTGGGGCTTTGGGCATGTCAGTTTGGGCATTTTAGTTTATAATTGTGGCAATCTATTTCACAAAGATAGTTTGGTCATAATTGGGTTTAATAAAACAGAAGCAGCATATTTCAGATACTTTGAAGTGTCTCAGTTAGTCTAATCCTCTGGGTACATAAATGTACGGCTTGGTCTTTAGCTTGTGTACATCAATAAAAAGTAGAAAAAACACGTTTTCTTTTATTTAAATAACAACAAGCTGTCAAACAATTATCCCTTCAATAAGTTCTATTGAAGCCATAAATCATTCACTGATTACAGGTTTGTTACCTTTGATGAGGTGTCCTAAGCTTGTCTTTATCAATAGAATTAATGATGCATAACAATGTACATATTAAAGGTAATCAGGTAAACGAGGTCAAACATGTAAGCGTGTATGGAACAACATCCTATTTAAATACGCTTTATAGATATTATTTTAAATGAGCATTCAGTTTAAAAAAGTATCCTGATATTTAAAAGTTATTCTTCAAATAAGGATATTCATAAATGAATAAGTATGATATATATTATTTTATTTAACACTGTACATCGTGTTAAATACTGGGGTACTCTCAAGGGGAAAATTTACTAAAATATATAGGAAAAACATCGAGAATAGCTTCGCTTGGGTATACCAAGCTGAGTTGTCCAATAAATAAGGGGGGCGTTCTCTATTCTTATTTTCATATTAAAAACTGTTTTTATAATTAAAATCATAAAGAATAATATCCAATCATGACAATCTCCGACTGTTACAAAGACTTTGTCTCAAATTGAACTTTACAAATCTGCCATCATGGGCAAACGTAAACGTGAAGATTCCGATCAAAATTCGAAATCTGCTAAAAATGCTAGAAGCTTTATTCATAAATGGTTACAACTGTTTTTATGGTTAAGATTTGACAGTATGCTAAATGCCATGTTTTGTGACATTTGTCAAAAACAAACTTAAAAATAACTTTGTAAAGCCTGGTTCGACAAATTTTCGAAAGTCAGCCGTTGTAGAGCATGCTAATAGCAATGACCACATTCAAGCTCTTAAATTAGAGACAGCTTCCAAAAGTAATTCAATTGTATCAGTATTTGAGAAAGTTCATGAAAAGACTGACAACGCAATGTGCACCTTGTTCCGTAATGCTTACTTTATTGCTAAAGAAAACTTACTAAATGGACAAATTTCAGTCAATAAATGATTTAACTAAGTTAAATGGTGCCGTGATCACTTCTAAATTATATCAAGAGAACAATGCCTGCTCCAAATTTATTCAGACAATTTCCGATGTTATAGAGAAAGAGGTGATGTCCGACGTAAAGTTAATGGAAATTTCACGTGTTTTGCCGGTTTCTAGTGTTGAATGTGAAAGGGGTTTTTCAAGGCAGAACATTATCAAGACAAAACTAAGGTGTAGTCTAGGTATTGACGCTTTAGATCAACTTATGAGGATAAGCTTAGTAGGTGTAGATGTTAAAGACTTTGACCCTGTTCCTGCTATCCGCAAATGGCAATCCGTTCGTAACCGCCATGTTTATCAGAACAATACATTTAGCAAGCTCATGAATGTAAAATCTTAAATTAGACTAAATGAACTCTAATCTTGTGCTGTGATCTGTGCTTCTTTTCAATGTGCTCATTGTAATATTTATTGCGTGTGTTTGTCAACATTGTGCTCTTCTGATATTTTATTGTTGTTATATGCTTACATAAAATATCATGTTGTTATTCATTAAATTATTTATCAACTGAGTATGTTTTTATTTATTCCTTAATTCTAAATCAGGTTGGGAAATTGTACAAAGAAAAATGTTATCACTGTTCAGTAGATTTTACACGGTTTAAAACAATATCCTTCATTGGGCCTCCTCAATGTTATCTATAAATACCGCATCAGTTGTAAAAGTCACGTGGTCAGGTAATCAATACACAAAAAGAAAAGTATCACGTGTATTGATGATCAAGTTGTACTGCAATTAAAGCCAACATCAACAGTTTCAAATAATATGGCCTTAATTTACAAAGTGTTAAGTACTCACAGAGAGAAGATAGATTATATAAACAGAAACAAAAACATGAGAACAGTCAGGTACTGAAGCTGATTGATGCAATGATGGTTACTGTATTACGATACACAGAAAAATGACACAATACCGAGGATAATATTTTATTTATTTTTAGAATGAAGAAAACAAAACAGTTATAAATAATTTTATTGCATATAACACTACTTATTATTTAGACACATATATCAATTTATGCATCCTCTCAGTTACATTTAAGTATCCAGCTGATCATTGACCGTCAAAAATATTTCTTTGAAAAATGTCCGGCTGTCGTCGGGAAATTTTGGAAGCCCTGGTTCAATGGTGTTAATATGTCCTTTGATTGAGTTAAGCTATTTCAGTTGATATTTTATAGTGTGTCTTTCTATGTTGTGATGTCACACTATTGTTTCAGAAAAAGGGTGAAGGTTTGGTACCATTAAAACGTTTAAACCCGCTGCATTTGTTTGCACTTGTCCTAAGTCAGGAATCTGATGTTCAGTAGTTGTCGTTTGTTGATGTGGTTCATAAGTGTTTCTCGTTTCTCGTTTTTTATATAGATGAGACCGTTGGTTTTCCCGTTTGAATGGTTTTACACTAGTAATTTTTTTGGGGCCCTTTATAGCTTACTGTTCGGTGTGAGCCAGGGCTCCCTGTTGAAGACCGTACTGTGACCTATAATGGTTTACTTTTATAAATTTTGACTTGGATGGAGAGTTGTCTCATTGGCACTCATACCACATCTTCTTATATCTATAACTATA